GTTCAAGGTCTTCGAGCAATTATAGGTCCAGTAAGAAGCATAGATCGAGATCGAGAAATCGAAAACGGCGTAGATCTCGCTCGAGAAGCTGTCGTAGATCTAGATCCAGCTCGGCCACCAGGAAATGGTCGCGATCGCGTTCCAGGGGAAAAAGGAAATCACGTTCCCATTCGAGAGGTAGAAGAAGAAGTCGCTCCTATTCTACCAGACGGAGTAAATCCCGTGCAAGGGATAAACGACGATCACGATCCAGATCCAGGGCTAGAGACAGATCTCGTACACGCTCGAAGGAACGTAAACGTTCGCAATCTTACGTTTCCAGGAGCAAGAGACGGACTAGATCTAGATCTAGGGATCATAGAAAATCACGATCGAGATCAAGGCAGTCGAATCATCGGGACGGTAAGAAATCGTCGTCTCATCGGTACAGGAATTGAACCTGACCAACTTCTAGCCAAGGTTGTATATACATATTCATATAATTAAGTAACTTTTCGAGATATTCGTATGAAATTAAAAAAAAAAAAAAAAAAAAAAANAAAAAAAAGAAAAAAAAAAGAAAAAAAAGGAATAAAAAAGAGAAAGATAAAGATAAAGACACACCTTTTGTCCATAGATAATGTTAAAAAAATATTATCGGAAATGTAAAGATTTTCAAGATTTGTGATTGTCCATTTTGAAATTTCTCAGCTACGCGCGCGTTAGTGATATCGAATATCGATTAGGTCATTTCTTCCCAGTTTTATTAAGCTCATTCGAAGAGTATATTATATCTTTAACTATATATATATATAGAATACCTCCGGACAGTTTGTAATTATTTCGCTCTATCAGTCAGATTTTTAACTGTAGCGTTATTTCGATATATAAAGAAAAATTTATCCTTTTTTTTTTTTTTTTTTTTTTTTTTTTTTCTTTTCTTTGTATTTAATCCTATTCCCACACAATTCATTACTATGGAAAGTACTCAGACACATGTATGTCAGCGAAGTTTTTTCATTCACGATTCCCGATAATCATTATTTTGTAATGATGTATCCATTTTATACAAACAAATATTAACCTGCATTTCGAGAAATCGTATAGATTAGCGCGAACTTCCGTCTAAAACATGTCGGACGTCGATTTATTTCCTACGAGTAAATATCGAATCGTTATTACTAATCTCACACAAGCTTGGTTGCATCATACACTGATATATATATATATATGAAACTAATTCAGGTGCAAACGAGTTTTAACTTAACCAATACATTCGAGAATAAATACGCGTAGATATCACGACCCTTTGAATCTTTCGTTGTTTCCTTAGAATCGCGAATCTTCTTCATTTATGTATCGAGTGGCATTTGTTAATCTCGAATCAGTGAAAAAGTAAAAAAAAAAAAAAACTGTTAAAACTTTAAAAATCGCGATGCATATATACTGTTGATTCAGTTACATGTATTGATACATACGTTCGACATACGTTAAACCGATGATTTCAATGTATTGTAAGTGTACGGGCCTTACATACATATTGCTATGATAAGTGTAACGAGTCATTTTTAATTGAAATAAATAAAACAAAAAAAAAAAAAAAAAGAAAAAGAAAAGAAAGAGAAAGAAAAGAAATATACATGAAAAAAAAAATGAAAATATTCTCACCTGTGTAAAATTTCATTTTTTCTTTGTGTTTAGTTTACTTTTTTTTATTCTTTTCCCTTTACGTAGTGCGTAGTGTGCAGCGTAAGAGAAGATAAATGTCCTCTTTTATTGCATTATTATAATTTATTTCATATAAACATTTGATACAGTTTTAAAATTTCATTTCGTAGAGCTTAGTATTTAGTAGTTTAGTGTTAATAAGTAATTAGGTTCTATAGAATAATATCGGAGATAAATTGGATGGAGTGATCGAGGAGAGTTCAAAGTTTGGTTTGGCATGATTATCGTGTTCACTTTGATACATTCGGATATATAAAAGAACATCTGCAGAACAGAATGCAACGTGTTTTCTTCTACCAGAGGACGAGGCTTTTTGAGATATGTATCTATCGAAAACGTCTTAGATATTTTATTTTATTTTATTTTATTTTATTCTCTTTTCTTTTTAAATTCATTTAAGCCCAAAGGTTAATCGAGTTAAATTTACAAGTAACGAGATATCTGCAAAGTGTAAATTTTGCCTCTTTTCATTGAGCAAATTTTAGATCTTAAAAAGTTGATATGTAACGATATCTTTTAACTCTATAATTTTTATCTTCTTTTTTATCTTTTTTCTCATTTCGAAATTTTCGAAAAAAGAGGATCGAATTGATATTTATCTTATATATATATATATAATATTTATATTTATTTTAATTCTCTTCTCGATATGTGCTATAATATTTTCTTAATTTTTTTTTTTTTTTTTTCCTTTTTACATCGTAAGAAATCAACAAATATTGGTCTCATACTGATCTGTGATAGTCCTCTCGATCGAAACAGGCACACAGGTGATACTTATTGATCGCGATCGAACGTTCTTTCGCATTCGATCTGAAATATAATAATAAGGGAACGATAAAAATTTCCATTTTCTATGATCAAACTCGATAGAACGACGATTGAATTGCATGTTGTCTGCAGATACCGGTCGCTATAAAATAAGGTACGTATTTTGATCTATGTGGATAACTATGGGGGAGAATCGTCTATATATATATCGACTAAATCTTATCTATGCTTGTTAGAAGATATCTTACTTTAAATATACAGTAAATATACATGTGCGCTTAAATTGTCAGAATATTCTCACTACTCTGTCCAAATAAGAAGGGGTCGAAGGCCAGGCGTCAATCCTCGAATCGCATAAATTTTAAATCGATTGTTGTTTTTCTTTTATTTTTTTTGAAATTGAAGAAAACATCGGTAAGGCAGAATTTCTCGTAGCACCTCCAATAAAATAGAATATATATATTAAATATTCGCAAGTTTGACGAAATATTATCGATAGATAAATTCAGATAAGGATAGAAACGGTGTATGTAAACCGTTTATCTCGATTTGAGGATCGACGAATGATCGTTCAGGATTGTTAACGCGGGTTTAATGTATAGATACATGTGTACAGTGGAGAGGTAAATTCGTTTACCAAGCAAGATTGTCGGCGAAGGGTTGCGTCGTGAGAATATTATTACAACCTAGGCATAAGTAGATATATCATTAATTCGCTTTATATATGGACTAGACTCAAGTACTTATTCAATAGTAGATCTTCATACGAATATTGCAATGAAACGTAGTTTCAAGCTGTTACGGTCGAAGATGTGAATTTACAGTGTGGATCCTCGTGGAGACTCGTTACCGACACGGTTTTCATCCTCGATGATATTCACGATCTCAAAGGTAAACTTGAAAAATTGACGCGTCTAGTTTTAATTAAATCTCCTCTTATTGTCGATGCTTTCTTCCCTTTAATTAACTCGTTCGCGAGAAATTTCGTTAAATTCGCCTCCAACGAGACACCAGAATTGCGATTCGTCCTCGCCTTGGAAATAATTATAATACGATCACGGACGGGTCGGTAACGAGTGTTTCGAGGAATCGCGAATTTTCGTCCTATGTCGCGAGAAGCCGATCAACGGACTGGATGGTTTTACAAAGAATCATAGCAAAATAGTTTCGTATTATTGTATACAACTACTACAACGACACGAAGTAGGTAGAAGAGTTACAGAATAATTGTAATTCGAAAGGTTGGAAAAAGGATGCGTGGGATCGGAAGGAAAAAAAGAGAGGAGATTTTTTTTTTTCGTCGGTAGCCGTAGAAATCGATAAACGTTTAAAGTGTTGGAACGTTCCTAACCTGCAAAATAATACAATATACATATAATCTTTTATGTATACATATATATCTCTTTGTGTGTGTGTGTATGTATATATATATAAATCAAAATTGCAAGAGGATAGGAAGAGAAGGAGGACGACGCCACCCTCCTTCTCCCTCTTTCGTTCTGATATGTATGCGCAAAATAAAATCACGATTTTTCCTTTCTTTCCTTTTTTCTTTTTTTTTTTTTTTCGTTTTTGTTCTTCTTTCCTTTTCTCTTTTTCTTTATCTCCGGAGATTCGAAGCGGACAGATTCGACGCCACGAACGCTTCCGTTCCCCTTCCTCCCCTTCTCGCCCCCATCTCCTCTACGTTCGCGCAGTCTTCTCGTTTTTCTCGAGCACGGACGTTACGTTCGCGAAATAAGAGTAACACGTCTAAAATTATGGAAGGCTCGGCCTAGCTTCGCTAGACCCTCGTCGATATACGCGCGTGTACATAAATAGCCGTATAAATTAATTAAGTACAAAAATTACAAACTTATTAACAAAAAAAAAAAACATTGGCAAGACTCGAGGCTCGGCCGGATCAAAATTTTCCCCCCTTCCCCATCGTTTCTTCCTCTTCTTTTCCCTTTTCTTTCGTTTAACGGAATACGGAAACTGTCTCTTGAACTTTCTTCGGACAAAGGAAAACGCAAGCGATGTAGGCACAGGAATCGAATTACACGTTCACGATTATTTCACTTTTGCAAATAAAAAGGAATGTTTAATAACGTATTAAATAACGTGATAATTTCACATTTTTCACTTTGTGTCCATCCAGTTCGAATTCGGGAAATGCGAATGTTACATATGCGAAGGTATAATTCGATTCCTCCACAAGTACAAGTGCGGCAAAACGTACCAGGTAGACGGCCCAGTCGATTTTTTCCCAGGATACCATTTTTTTTCTTTTTTTTTTTTTTTTACATAAATCTTAATACATCTTTTCAGAAATTACCGCACTTTTAAAATACACCTAACACATATCACAGAATCGTGTGTACTCCATTAAAAAAAAAAAAAAAAAATGGTCACACCGCAAATTAACCACCCCTCGCGAGTCCTCCCTATTTCTTTTTTTTTTTTTTTCGGAATTTTATCTCACTGCGAACGTTCGCAAAACATCGCGAAAAGGACATCGCGAAACAAGGAAATGAAACAAAGCAACGACGGTACGTAACGGCACACGATATATTAGGCCTAATAAAAAAAAAAAAAACTAAATTCCGCGTTTTAAATGTTGCGTTTCTCCTTTTTATATTAGGCTCGATCGAGGCGATCATTTCCATATATTTTTGTGCTCCTCGACGAAATACAATCTATGCAAATCTTTACGAAGGTTAAGAAGCGTGGCTATCGCCGTTCACCCGGACCAAGGAACTGCATTCGGAATTCTCGTATCTCTGTGAGAAAAATTTTTCACAGTGGAAGGCAGGAGGGGACCACTTTTGTTCCGTATAATTACACGCGAAACAGCAGGAAGTTACGTTACGAAAAATCGGTCGCGACCGAGGAAACGCTCTCTAGCCACGCTCCACTATCTCTATCGTTCATTCGCGAATCCGAACCCAATATCGATATCATAATTACGAACGTACCTTTTAAATTACATACGATCGTTCGGCTCGCAGAAATTCTCTATCAATCATTCTCCATCAGCGGAAAACTTGCCACGCGAACGGTTCGAAACGTGGATCGTGGATCCTCCACCGATCTCCACCGGTTCCCCCGCTCGTTTCGAATGCAGCGCGCACAGAGAAATACCATCGCCTTTCGATTTCGCGATTTCACGATTCGATCACGTAGCGATCGACTCGAAATTCTTCCCGACGACGACGATTCGACCCGAGGATAACCTCCTCTCGTGAAAACTTAACAACACGTCGTGGCAAACTGTAACGAGTTACGTTACGTTACGTTACGCGGGGAAACACTCTTTGACAGGCTTTTAACCTGGTATTATCTGTATGGTACAGTCACGCGCTTTGTGATTCGCCTCGGTGAAACCATCTCCTGAGAGATACCTGCGAACAAAATCGAGAATATGATGTATTATATACATGTTTTATGATTATTCTATCCAACTGGGGAGGAAATTTTTTGTGGAGAAAATGAAAGTTCATTCTATCGTCTATCTAAGTGTATTCTATCTATCGATAGAAACGGTGGTTTTTCCTCCATAGTTGGACGAATAATATCTATCACGATTGTTGTATAATCATCATTGTGAATATATTAAATTTGTTTGTCAATTTGGCGATTGTTGTTTGCATTATTGGAAAGTTACCTTGATCACTGAAACGGAGCGACGCCGAGGTGACGAGGAGGCTATTGGTTGAGCAGGGTGTTAGTCACCTCAGAGATGGACAGCAAAGGACTCCCGGTGTCCGGTTTGGAATCTGAGGGACAGTTGGGCCCATTCCCGCCGCTGATGATCCCACCGCGTGTTGGTGCTGAGGGTGGTGGTGGTGGTGGTGGTGCGGGGGGTGGTACAAGACGTTGCTGTTGCTGGTGCTGCTGTCCTGCCCGATGCCCATGCCGACTCCTGTCCCCGTTGTTCCCACAGCTGACGGGGGCGTGCTGCAACCGAAACCGCGTGTTTCCCCGTTACTTCCTCGACCCCTTTCGAACCCCTCGCGTTACCCATCTCACTCCCTATATATATATATGTATATATATTTCATATTCGATTATTACTCGTATCGAATGATCACTATAATAATTCGTCGGTAGAAAATTCTCTCTCGACTTTCAGATAAAAATTCTCTTGTACTTGTAAGTGCAGTGAGCTAAATCAAATTATACGAAGAGAGAAAAAAAAGAAAAGAAACTTCGAAAAATAAAAAACGTGGACATGCAGAGTATATGATTGAATCGATTCGAGAGAATTGTTCATGCATTTCTTACGTGCATGCCCAACGGTCCAATATCACATTTTTACAATTTTTAATTATTCCCGTTCATCGAAAGACCACCGTTACGCGTCTCCTTTGAAAAAAAAAAATATCCTACATTTCCAAATAATTCTCTCTCTCCCTCTCTCTCTTACTATAAAACGAAAAAAAAAAAAAAATTCTACTCTACTCGAATCCCAGGTCCTCGACCTCTAGAGAACGTAACTCGCAACTCGGCTCCCCCGGCCGCGTATTAATTACTTTTAAAAATGCGTGAGGCAGCAGCATCTGTGACACTCACTGGGGCGCGTGCCTTGGTGGTGCGGGGTGGTGATGGTGGTAAGGATAGTACTGGTAGTGGTGGTGGTGTTGCACTCCTTGCCATACCTCGGAGCCCGTATCCCCGTGGCCGTGGCCTGGATGCGAGTGCGCGTATCCGATAGTGCTCGCCGCCGCGGCCGCGGCCGCTGCAGCTGCAGCCGCCGCCGCTTGATACTGAGACGTGGTCACCGGTTGGTACTGTTGGTGTTGCTGCTGTTGCTGATGGTGTTGTTGGTGTTGCTGCTGCGGCTGCGCCTTGGCCCTGGGCGAGCTGGGCGCCGCGCCCTGTTGCTCGCCGGGCGACGCCTGCCGCCACTTGCACTCCCCGTTCATCGAGTTCATTTCCGCCAACGACTTGAGGGGATCCCCCCCGCCCCCCGTGGCGTTGGTCGAGTGGGTGGACGAGTGAGTGGAGTGAGGCGTGGGTGGGCTGTAGCTGCCGTTGTTCCTGGGCGGCGTGCGAGCGGGTGGCGCCCCCCACATGAGCACGGTTTGCCGGGGCGCTTCGCCCCCGTACACTTCCGGCTTCACGTCCTCTATTTTCGGGGTCAGCACGCCGTTCGTAGCACCCGTGACCGGCGAGCTTCCAGCGGAATTGCTCGACGAGCCTGCCCCACCCTCGAGGGAGTGTCTGCTGCCCGCTCGAACGATGCCGATGTCGGCGGTGTGCTGTTGTTGCTGTTGCTGTTGTTGCTGTTGTTGTTGTTGCTGCTGCTGCTGCATGGCGGTCGAGGCGGTCGCAGCAACGGGGCTAGACGCGTAGGGAGAGCCGCTCACGCTGCTCGGGTGTCTCGCCTCCACGTAGCTGTACTTGGGCGACTCGCCCAATTGCTGGCAGTAGAGCTTCTCCTCGGCTTTGCTGGCCAGTTGGTGGGTCTCGTACGTAGGCAGGGGGACGTCGATGAAGCCGTTGTACGCCGTGCTCGTGTGGTACTCGGGGTAGTACGTGCCCAGGGGCCTGTATTGGAACAGGTTCTCCGTAGCTGCGGTCAGGTATCTGTAGCCGTTCCAAATGGAATTCAAAAGGATTTACGTATAATTGTGAAAGAGAGTTTGTTCACTAGGATAGGACTAGGAAAGAGTTCGTAGTTCGAACTATAAATGGTTTCGACTCTTCGAAACAATGGAAGATTATTAATTACCTCGTATTCGGAGCTGGATTAATAATTTAATCTTGTACTTGATAGTGTGATTACATTAACCCTTTGCTCTCCAACGGTGACTCTCGGTCACCACTGGGATTGTTGCGGTAATATTTATTTATATTTGATTTTTTTAAAATAACGCTTCATAAATAGATTCCTAAGCTCTTTACTTGTAATCTTATGAGGCGTAATCTTATTATTATGAGTAATTTTCTTATAGTAATCTTATGAGGCCACCGAACGCGCGCAGGTCTGAATCTGAAGTTCGACAGAGCGAAACAGGCTTGGAATGCAGAGGGTTAATAATTACCTAATGGGATCGATGAGGCTCACCTGTTGTCCAACGCGGTTGCAGGGTACAACGTCTGATGATAGTTGCCCGTGTGGCCGATGTACGTGGTCAAGGAGGGATCCGTGGTCGCGGCTACTGCCGTGGGCGCGTAAGCGGTCGGATACATCGTGTTCAGGTTGCTGTATGCCGCCGCGACCGCGGCGGCGGCGCTGGTATCGGCGGCGAGGTAGTCGACGGATGCGACGGTGGGTGTGGCGGGCGGGGAGACGGACGATTGCGCGGACAGTTTGGTACGTTTGTTCCGACAGGTGGACAGGAAGTCTCTCAGTTGGGTTTTGTACCGCCTGTTCACTCTCTGGGACGTGGGTTGGCTGGGGAGGGTCGGAGTCATCACCGAACCGGTGAGGCTGTCGCTGTCCGAAAAGTAACTGTTGGTGAGACCTGCGTCCAGATAACTGACCTTGAAGTCCATCGTTCGTTTGCCGAGGAGATCTCTGCCCTCTTCCTCCCTGGATCGAGAAGAATGAGAATGAGAATCGTTTCGCGATGCCAAGGTTACTTTATTTCCTCGACACGAAAGAAAACACACTCACATGAGGGGACGATGCGTGCTGATTACGAAGTCGGGTTTAGAGTTCTTGTAGACTAGCCTGGAGCTGGTCTGCAGCCACTGCCATCCGCCATCTTTCTTTTGGAATCTGTACGCTATCATCCCCGAGGCCCCCGTCTTCAACACTGAGAAGCGATCGAGGGATGAAACGAATTGAATTGGAATATGGATTTTTTTTTTTTTTGGTTTTCGTGGAGTGGAGAAGCGCTTACGTTCTTGGTGGGCACTCGCCACGTATGCCAAATCGTCGTAATGGACTAGATCGTAGCCGCCAAGGTTTGCCAGTTCGGCGTCCGAATAGCCCAACAACATTTTCCCCCGTTGATCCATGGACACGAGCGCGAGATCCAGTTTGTGCTTGCTCTTGAACATCACGTCCTTCTGCGGGACTTCGAGCAACGAGGGCGGGCCGAACGGTGTGCACAGGGCGAACAGTGCCAACGGTGGCTCCTCCGTTTTCCTGTTTTGACCGTGGAGTATCTTCACTCGTCCCCTGATGTCCAAACGCTAGTAAAAAAAAAAAAAAGAAAAAATAGAATACTACTAGATTGATAAAAGGAATCGAAGGAAGAGTCCCATTTTTACAATTTTAATTTTCTCAAATTAATACGCGGGTTAAATTTTATTTGATCTCAATAATTGGCAAATACGAAGGTAAATAATGGGATGATAAGAAGAGAGGGGTGAAGGAAAAAGTCATCCCATTAGCATTCAGCGTTTATAAAAATGACACTGTAAAACTTTTACGACTGAAACTATTCCAATCCCCTCCTGATTATTTCTATGAAATTATTCTTCGTATCAATTTTATTCTCTTCCTTTAACGAGGAAGAAGAAGATAGAACAACAATTCCTCCCTCGATCAAAATCGCGACAAGAAAATGACAAGAAAGATTACGACATACATACACTATGACGCGGAGTAGTATCGTAAACTTCTTGAGAGAAAATGCGCAATTCCAATCACCATCATCACCACCACCACCACCATCACCATCACTACCGGATGCCCGAGGAAAACACGCGGTAATTACAGGGAGAGACTTGCCCCCTGCTCCTCGATTAACTCTATTATCGCGAGCTGAGGTTAAACCCTGTTCTCGCTTGCAATTATGAAAATTTGATGCCGTAAAAATCGGATCGATAAGTGGCGACATTTTCGCAATAACGGGGTCGAACAGGTTTCTCTCTTTAATTGCTATTTGACAGATTCGTGAGAAAAACGAGAAAGAAAGATTTCTCGTCTATACATATCGTACAAGATATCTCCGCGGGTCAAAGGATCATCCTCGTTCGCGTGACCGTGTACGAAGAGGTTTCCATGAATGAACCAGAGCTTACGTTGCGAGTCTACGTTCCCTAAACGTACGTGGAACTGTGACCAGGCATGCGAGATACGCACAGCTAAAGACCCCAGGTATCGATTGGGCTCAGCAATGGAAACGTGCATGGCCTGGGCAACATAAATATCCAAACAATATTGGGAAGAGACGAGAGATTCTCCTTCTTTGGATTTAAATCTACTCCTATGTTAATTTGAAATAAGATAAAGATTTGAAAAAAATTGAAGATATTTGAATATTTTGAATAATCTTAAAAAGTGATCGTTTATTGAAATGATTTCTTTTGTCTTTCGAATGATCTTGGATTAATCTTTAAATAATCTTCTAAAATTTAGTACGAGAGAATTCAACATCTTCGAGATTACGATAAAATAATGATTATTTTTGATGGAATCCCAATGGAGAAAAGATGGAGGAAAGTAATCATTCGATGAAAGATAAATCTTATCTTTAAGATAATCTTATCTTTAATATTATTAGTTTCTAAAAAAATCTTCTGTAAACTTTTAAAAAAGATATCTGTGATATTTCAAATACCAAAACTCACCAAAAAACCGGACGTGTTGTCCAGAAGACACCGGAAGCGGACAGTGAAGCTTCGCTCCAAAAGGTGACTGTGTTGGGGTGAAAGGGCGTCGTGCAAAGGGAGACTTGCACTTTCACTGGGAAGAAACGAGTTCCACATAAGCTGCCTTTGCAACTCCTCTCGATCCTCGCTGTGCACCAGCTCGTATACGCTTTGATGGACGATGTCGGACTGAAACAGACAAAAAAGGGGATAGTCAGCGAAGAAGGGGTAAGTTTCAGGGATCGCGTGGAAAAAAAATTTCTTGCATTACAGGATCACGTAAGTACGTAAAATCGTTTATGGTAAGGCAGGTATACGCAGAATTGGAGACGTATAATCAAAAAATGCAGATAAAGGTGTAAAAATAATTTTTTGAAACGTCCTGCAATTTTTCGCAAGCTCTGTCACCGAAGCAGAGTGGCGCAGTGGAAGCGTGCTGGGCCCATAACCCAGAGGTCCGTGGATCGAAACCACGCTCTGCTAATAAAGGGGGGTTGATTTCCCAATAATTAATTTTTTTTTTCAATTTTTACATTACAAATTGTTTTTGAGTTTTATATCGGCTCTCTTAGTATTTTTTTTCTTTAAATTTCATTTGTAACGAGTAAAATTTAATAGTAGGTAAGAAGAGTTTGGTAAGAAAGAATGTGGTACCAATGCACAAAAGAAAAAAGTAAAAAGTTAAACATCCCTTAGCAGAGCGTGGTTTCGATCCACGGACCTCTGGGTTATGGGCCCAGCACGCTTCCACTGCGCCACCCTGCTTCGTTGGGGGATGTTTTTAAATAATTTTCCACAAGATTGGACGCAAAATAATCTAATTTTTATCTAATCGATATAATAAATTTATAAATTTCGATCGAGAAATATAACGCAACTGTATGTCCGTCTTTATTTTACATCTGATCGAACCATCTTGCGTTTAAAATTATATAAAGAATAATAAATAATAAATAAGAGTTATTTATCAAATAACAAATATTGCATCGTTAAATTGCATCCCTGATAATGAAAGAAATTTCGTAATAAATTTTACGTAAATATATTCTCTATTTCACACACATATTATTCTATTATTATTAATTATATGTATAGCATCGCGAATCAATCTTTATAACTGGAGATTATTGATCTAATTTCACCCTGTATAAAGGGGTTGAAAACAGCTTTAGGGAAGAAACCGACACAACAGCAGAGTGGCGCAGTGGAAGCGTGCTGGGCCCATAACCCAGAGGTCCGTGGATCGAAACCACGCTCTGCTAAGACGAGGTAAATTGTCACTTTTTTTTTTTTCAATTTCTTTTTACATCCTCATTCAAGACACGCGTATCATTCGATATTTGTGCAAAATGAATTTTTTACAATTTTCCTTATCATAAAAATACACGCATCACGTAATGCAAACTTAATTTCGATATCATCCCTCCGTGCTTTGCATTTAATTTTTAAAAAAATATTGTTTTATCGTAGATTTTTTTTTAAAGTGTTAAAAAAAAAGTAAGAATTATCTAATATCAGGTTTTTAAAATATGCATTTACCACGTATCATAAAGACTAAATTTAGTAAATAAAGTGGTCGATAAAAAAAAGTAATTTAACGGTATATTTTTCAAGAATTAAATGCATATAAGAAAAAAAGAGTTTCTAAAACTTATTTAGAAAAATCTTTCCATAAATTTCGAGATTTTTGTTGAATTACACAAACAAAAAGTCTAAAAATTCAAAATAATTCTATTCCGACATTCATCATCCAAATCAAATTCTTCCCTTTTCCATTCCATCGTAAATACGAAAATAATAAAAATTTTACACAACTTCTTTTATCCACAAATTTTCACGATTCAAATATCCTGCTTTCTTCCTAAATAAAATACATTTACCCGAATCAAATTCTCTTTCAACACGCTATTCCAACACCAGCCCAAATGGAAAATATCCCGAATAAACAAAACGTTGAAAATCGAACGCTACGATAATAATTTCCAATGCAACCCCCCTCCCTCCCCGGAACGGGAACGCAATGCAGACACAGAAAGTGGAAGTTGCACTCCACGCCGAGCGGGCAGACGATCGTCGTACGGGTTGGAGGAAGGTGAGAGGCAGCGGCATTATTTCAGGAAATATCTGATCGGTCGTGACGTCGCGACGGCGACATAGGCGCACGTACGGCACATGTAGCTACACGTGTCCGACGCACTTTATCGCGCATAATTAATCCGGCCTAGGCAGCGACGGGCGATGAGCCCGTGGTGCACGAGAAACCCATAGTTTCCTCGTTCCTTCGCTCAAGAAAAAAACGAGCAGAACGAGAATAACTCCTCTGTTCTGCGCCCTCTTCCCTCCCCTCTCTCCCTCTCTTATTTCTCCTCCTTCCTTTCTCTGTGCTCGGTATGCGCGCGTATGATCGGATAATCGGGCCTCCACCACGCACCCTAGGCCTCGGCGAGGCAGCCTAGAAAATAGATCGAATTAACAGGGACCCGATTGGTGCCAACCATACGTGGTTGCCACGGTTGTCCGGCCTTCGACGCTTGGAATAATGCAATAAATCAGCCCGTGGAAATGATACGGGCGCGAGCTTGCCTTGCTCGCCACGGCCCCGCTACGAACGTGTTAAGCTCTCGTCGAAATAGGAAGGCGCTGGCGCTACGTTGTACGTTTCTATATGGAGAGGCCTGTGCGGATCGGCTCGGCTCGGACGGAGCTGTTATCACTGGGGAACGGGAGGCAACTGCTGAGATGGGATCTCGGTTGCTCACTTTTCTTCCTTTGGATCGGTGTTATGGGTTTATAGGAGGGGGTGAGTTTCTTCGAGACGAGACGTTTCTTTTTCTTTTTTTTTTAAAAAGTGTTCCAAAGTTATTAGGAAATTATTATTCAACAATTGTATCGCACGTATAGATGTATAATATTATGAGATGTATAATATTATTGTTGGGATCTCAGTTGCTCACTTTTCTTCCTTTGGATCGGTGTTATGGATTTATAGAAGGGAATGAGTTTCTTCGAGACGAGACGTTTCTTTTTCTTTTTTTTTTAAAAAGTGTTCCAAAGTTATTAGGAAATTATTATTCAACAATTGTATCGCACGTATAGATGTATAATATTATGTATATTATTGTTGGGATCTCAGTTGCTCACTTTTATTCCTTTGGATCGGTGTTATGGGTTTATAGGAGGAGGTGAGTTTTTTCGAGACGAGACGTTTCTTTTTCTTTTTTTTTAAAAAAGTGTTCGAAAATTATTAGGAAATTATTATTCAACAATTGTATCGCATGTAGATAGATGTATATTATTGTATCGTTTTAGTTATATGTGTTGTGCATGCTTTTTTTCGTAAATTTTTAAAAATTATTTATCACTATTTTCTCCGGATCGAATCCGCATCTTTCTTTTTTTCTAAGATAAGAGAAATCACAGACGGAATAATTCAAGTTTTTTTCTTACTTTGGTCGAACATTCGCAACAGCACTTTTATCGTAATCGGGTGGAATAAAGAAGGCAAGCTTGTTGCTCGATCGCATAATTTCCAGGATGGCCGGCCGGCGTCAACCTCGAAGGGAAGCCGGTCGAATTGTCGCGATAGGCCATTAGCTGGTCATAGTTGTCCAGGGGGCTCGGTTAACCGGGAATAATATAATAAATCACGCGATAGAAGGGAACGGGAGCTTTCGAGGTACTACGTTGCATTTCCGATAGGCGGAACAGGGTAGCCGCACGTAGCTTCTGCACCTTCTCGTAACGTTCGTGTCGCCGGTGCACGGATCTCACGACTTCCATGTTACTCACACCATCCCTATGTTACGATATTACCCGTGAACGATAATGGGATGCTCCCTGAAACCTCTATTTTTTTCAAACAAAATACCAGCTCTCGCCTCCTATAAAGCCGTAACACCGATATCGTGAAAAATAAGAAGGGATTTCGGGACTTTTTTAAATTACAAAAATAGCCTCGAGTTTAAACTTCGTAACGGAACATTTTTCTCTGAGTAATAGCCTATCGAAATACAGGATCCTATTTTAAAATTAGATTTAATAGATTTTACCCTTTACCATAATCGTTCGTTCGTTCGTAAAAAAAAAAAAAAAGAAAAGAAAAAAGAGGGAGAAGATGAAACCAATTTTAAATTCAAATCCATTCAAAACTGCTATGCAGAGATTTTTACATAATCACGAACAACTATCACCGCCAATATAATAAACTTCTTACACGAAACGATTAATCAATAACGCACAATCTACATCCCAATCCCATAAATACCAACGAGAATCAAAGTAGGATGAAATTTTCAACGAAAAAATACCAAGTTTCCCCTAAAAAAATCCCCCTAAAAAACACGATCGTCATGGAAACGCAGACGAGAGGCGAAAAAAGGTCGAAAAACGTCCCTTCTCCCCCTCTCCCCCTCCCTCCCGGTCGGACGTCGACTCGATCGGCCATAAAACTCGATCTCTCAATAAATATAGGAGAGAGCTCAGCGCGAAGTCGCAATCCCCGTGTACCCGTTGCGAAGAAGGGGAGGGTGGGAGAGGGCGAGTGTCCCGCGAAGGGGCCCGTCCGGTTCACCACGGGGTCCACCGATGAATTCAGGGGGAGGGGAAGGTGGGGGAGATCGGCTTAGGGCTTTCCCTAAAGTCTCCTCTGCGATCCCGCTGCGCGTTCCGTTTGCTCTAATTTTAATTAAACCCTTCCTACGGACAGGATTTCCGTGGTAATCGAGCAGGCTGGCAACGGCCATACTTCATTGGGACACGCTCGACGTGTAATTGCTCCGCGTTTGCCCTTTATTCCGCCCCGCCAACATGGCTCGTCGGCCAATTTTATTCCCCTCCCCACCTACCCCCCTCCTCCCCCCTCCCCCCTCCCCCTGTCGTCCCCGTGGTCCCGCGTATATCAAGCGAAACGGCTCACAAACGGTTTCGGCCGTACGTGTAATTTTCATTAATACGTGATTTATTCCGGCAAACGGTGATTTATGGAATTATATCGACGCCCGATAGTCGGCGTCGCGCCACTCGACCGGCTACGAGAGAGAGATAGAGAGAGAGAGAGATAGAGAGAGAGAGAGAGAGAGAGAGAGAGATTCGTGCGCTTGTTAAGTCGTTCCCCTGGCCACCTTTCGATTATTGCGTTCAACGGGCGACTTTTTCAGAGTTTCACGGTTTGTGGTGTACGCACCGCGGCT